GTAATTCCTGATACAATGATGACATATTACACATAATTTATATCTTAAATATATTTTATATATATTTTAAATATATAACTACCTCATATTTGAGTATTTTTTTCTAATTCTTACATTTTCGTGCATAAACTTTTTAATTCTTGGAAAAAACATTTTAGATAATCTTAACAATTTCTTATCATTTTCTCAACTCGAATTATGATTAATTTCATTTAAAATATTCATTTTTAAGCATTTTTGTAATAACAAAACAAACAATAAACACAACAAGTAGTTGTATTAATATTTTTACGTCTTTCATAAAAAAAAATTTTAAAATTTAATTTTTTATCTAATGCAAATTTTTTCCATCTTTTATTTTTATAATGTGCAGGACTTAAACCAAAACTATCAAAAAAATTTTAATTTTTCCTATCTTTCCACAGTGCTACCCAATGACGAACTGGTTGATCACTAGTATATTTATTCCATATCCAACCTCCTTCCCCAAAATTTTTTTTGGGTAATAATCAGCTGGTAAAACTCCTTTGAATTTTTTAATAGTGTTATTATTATTTCCCAAATAAATTATATCATCAGTTGTTAAAAACTTTTCCAACATACAATTTATATCCATTATCAGATTTAAATCGGGGATAATCAAAATTCATTTTTTCCTTTTTTTCAAAAATTTTCTTTAAATTCCAATATGTTTCTTTTCGTTCACAATACGTATGGGTTACAGCATGATTAGTACGTGCACAATAATAAGAGAAATTTAATAATATATTTAAGTGATAATTTTGTTGATATGAACCATTAAATCTTGCTGTTTTTTGAAAAACTATAAAAACTCTTGATGGTAGAGCACCTGTGAATACTTCATAACACTTCATTGCTTTGGTTACGATAGGCTGAGTTTTTGTAACAACTCTCAAATTGTTTACAAAATAATGACTCTCTTTATTTTCTTGTATCAGTTTATTATTTATTGCTTCACTTAATTGTTCATTTGGTGTAAACATTCTAATTGTAATCTTAAAATCCCTAAGATGGATATCGTAATTTTGAGGATTATCAGCAGCTAATTCCATCAAATAATAATGTTTTTAAGCTCTTGCAAATTGGAATTTCAAACCACAACTGATGAAATCCAACTTGTTTTAAGATACCCATTTATTAAAGTCATATAAAGTTGATCTATAATTTTGCATGTTTTATTATTTATAAGGTCTACTCGTGCATTTTTTTCCATTTATCAACTTTTTCATTCGCAATTGTATTTCATTTAATTTTATCTAAAGCATGCATTTTTCCAGCTCCATGCAACGTATCTATGTTCATATTAGCTAACTCGTCACGTGAATTATATGATGTGTATAGAATACTTTTTAAATATGAAATCCTGATATATTGATTAGCAATATTATTTACTAAAACATCATCAATGTATAAGTTTATATTACACCACATAATAGTTAAAGGTCTTGGATAAACGCATATGTTTAAAGTATCAAATAAAGTGGAACCAGCTATAAATTTTATTCTACCACTCATAACGAAGTCATCAGTTCTCATTAAACCATATTCAGATTTCGATATTAGACATTCAATTTGTTTGCACAAGGTTCATCAGGTTCGGGATTTAAATTAATAGGACTAAATTCAAAAATGTGAAATTTCGAGGAACTGGTTGAAACATATTAAAATTATTACTTACGACATGGTCATTTTCATCAATTTCAATTTCACTAACACTTGCAATATTTTATTATTTTATTAGCGAGAATTCACACAACCAACAAAAAAATATAAATGAAATCATAAATTTTTTTAAAAGCTTATAAATATAACTATCTACGATCACAATAAGGGAAAAATCTGGAGGGGCGATGTTTCGCATCGTAAAAGAGAGCGAAAAACAGCACTAAATCCATTGATTTAAATAGATAATCATCGTTATATTTGTGGTTAAATGTATGCCGGAAAACACACACTCACAGTAGAATACAGATTGATGGATTATATCGGAAATGCAATTGCCGTAGAAATATGGAAAACACAGATTAAGAAGTTTTCTTGTAAAAACAGAAACGCAATTACGTACACGACCATAGAGAAGAACATAAAACTGGATTATACCGCATATCAAATCAAAGCAAGAGAATGTTTGCAGTAGTTGAAAGCACAAAATTTTTTTATGTTAAAATGTACGATAAATGTGTAGTCATTGTTTAGAAGCCAGGATAGCACTATTATGGATAAAGAAGAGAACGTATTTGCAGTAATAAAAAAGAAAGGTTGGCCTATCGAAAGGAGAAACTATAAATTCTAAAAAGCCAACTGAAATTGACATATATGCTTGTGGAAAAGAATAGCCCATTCCTTTTACAGTGCAGCAGATCTAAAACAATCACAAAACAAAATCATAAAAATTTTAAAAAGTACCTACATAAAGGGTAAGTTGAGGACTCCGTGTCTTGTATACATGACATGAAAATGCTTTGTGCACTATACAGCAAAGCAAGCTCTGCATTATGACCTGTGTATCAACCATCTAAGTTTTGCGAAACTTCTACATCTTGTATCCATCGCACATCGATAAAAATGATTTTAAATGCCAAAGAATTATTTGGTTCAGTTTGTAGCGATAAACTAATAGTTAAAACAAAACCTTTTTACGAAGAAATGACTTATCATCAAAATAAGTACAAAATTTTACATTAACAATCAAGAGTAAAAACCGATAACGAGCAACTAAAAAAAACAATGGATGAAGAAACGTTAGAAAAGATGAATATAAAAGAACTACAAGTCCAAACATTGAAAACAATTGAAGAAGAAATGAACACAGTAAGATGCGATATTTTGATTGCTGAAGGTGTCCCATCTAATGCTCGAGATGAAAAGAAGTTGATTGATGTAAGAACAAGTGCAGTTAAATCTTAACTATGCTTAAAAAGCAATAGAGAAATTGCATTTAAATAACATTTCTCTGACTTGGAAGGTATTTCCTGGAAAGCTTCGTTATATTTTAGTCATTATATTATTTTTGAAAGAAGCAAATCGTTCATGTCGGAAGACTTCCTTTTGAAGAATTTGAAGATCAGTTGTAATTAAAGAATTATAACTTACTGGGAACACAACTCATGTTTAAAAGATTTATATGATATTTCTAAACGTCGGGATGGCTATGGATGACTTTTTCAGCCAAGGATAAACATCCAACAATTACTTCAGCTTAACCAGCAGAGAAGAGACCTGCAGACTTTCACTGAATAATATTGTTTGACTTCCATTGCAAAAAGTGCAATCATATTGAAGCACATTACGTGTTTTTTTTCTAAAGTGGACCATAAAAATTTAATTTTGCTGTGTTGAAATTTTCCACAGTTACGCAAGATCACCTGGAAGACTGTGAACAAGTTACGGATGTCACTATTCAAGAACTGACAAACAACTGTGTAAAGGTAAGGAAACTTTTTCTACAGGGCTGTCCAAACTATACTCATTGCCATTTAGACTTAATGGGAAAAAAACACTAGATTTAAGAAAGTTCCACTTTCTTCATTGCAACAATGATAAAAAAAGGAAAACAAATTTGGTGAAAAACCTACGAAATTTTTCTAATGAACGTATAAACAACAACGAGGAATAATCATTTATTGCTTATAAGACAACATCAAAAATCTTTAAATTTTCAGGATGCAATAAAATTTTCGCACAAATTTGGTCAGCAGAAACCAAGACTAACAGCCTTAATGAATAACCATTTTAAAACAGCTGTATTATTAAAAGAGTGTGGGTCAAAGTTCTTTTTGCTAGAGCAGTCTATGTGTGAATATTTTTATATGCTGAAATTTAGTTAACTTGTAAAATTCAAATCACGCAAAAACGACCACACGTCGTGCTCTGTGCCATATTTGTCACACTGACGCTCAGTGGATAGAACTTTTATTTCCTCAGCACTAGGAAAAGAAACCTATCAACTACCCTTATGCCGACCTTTCAGAGAGTGAGACAGTTGATCCCAGTGTCTTTTCGAACCTTAGTCGGTCTCTCCTCTTACTTAAGATTCGAGCTTTTATAACTTTCACGTTCGATTTGTCCCCACAAATCGGTTGATTTATTTCGGCATGTCGGTTCATTCAAAATGGTTTCTGCAGTCAACCCGAAACTGCGATTCACCACTTCGACCAGTGCCCGTGATACTAGTCTTACTGATAACGAGCAAGTAAAAAAGCAATGGATGAAATGACTAGAAAAATGGAAAGAGTTATGGCTGAAATAAATCAAAAATTTAGTATGGACGTGGTTAGTATCAGGAAATAAGTAAAGATATGACGGAATTAAGAAAAGAAACAAAGGATTTTCAACAAAATACTTCTACAGTGAACAAGGAAACGAAAGTCATGAATCAAAAACATCGTGGTTACTACTTGGTGGAGAATATCAGAATGTAAGAACGATTTTCATGAACATACATCATAGTATTAAAATATTATCTTAAACAATTCTCTAGATACTGACTTTGAAATAAAGTCATCCTCATTCTGTCTGAGGATGACTTTGAAATAAAGTCAAAAATTTACAGTTTACTTCTCGTCTTGTTTTGATTCATATTTTGCAATCTCAAAATGTCTTGTTTCTTCGGAATTTGTTTTATATTATACAGATCAGATAAATTTTAATTAACCTGGAATAACCGACTGATAAGCGAGGTGGTTTGACTGGTTCGACGGATAAAGTGTCTATGAACCCAAAAAACGCTTATTTTATTGTTCAATGGCCAGATCAGTGGACAGTCTGGAATGGTCTCGACTGATAAGAGGGGTGGCCGGACGTGTAAGGGAGTCCAATTGCTATCTTACAATTGGTTCATTTGAATTTTTGTTTTATTGTGATTGCTTTCACGGATTTCGACTGATGGCCAACTAAACTAACATAGTCAAGCTCACTGTCTGATGTGAATGTTTGATCGTTTCATCGTAATTTTTATAAGTATGATAGAAACTAAACTACAATCAGATGGAATTTATGGAAATCTTTTACAAATTCATACATTGACATGAATGCTGCTGTCCACAAGATAGAATTTCATCTATTTCATTGCTTTCTTTTTCTTTTGATGAGGTCATTTTATCATTCTTCTTTATTCCTGAGCTCTTTGCAACAGCATGATGCCAGCCGGTACATAAGTTCCACTCTGGTATTGCAACTCCTGGTTCCCAACTAGTCATATTTTCCATGTACTCCAAACCTGACGCATCGCAATATTTTTTTGATCATTGCTTCAGGATTTTCAAGAAGATCATCGGCGTCGACGACAATGGGACTGTGGTCTAGCTCTTTAACAACAAATTCATACAAGTCCAACAATTCGCGAAATCCAGCTTCTTGTGGATCGAAATAATACCAACCTGTCTTCTTTGAACTTATTGATGCATGATAAAGAGAAGGAACAGCTTTCTTTGAATTACGAATGCGAAAGGAATGCTTAAAATTTCTAAGACCTTTCTGTCGAAGAATTTCAAAATTATCCTTTAGATGATAAGCCATATCTTTGGAGAAGACAAATTTCTTTCCTTCGTGTTTGGCCGAAAGACTTTCACTGATAGCATCCAAAGTGCCATGAAGTTGATAAGGAATATTTCTGTAGCGGTCACTTTTACGGTTAGGACCAAATAATAGAATTGGGAAAAAGGCTCATGAAATATTTTACCATTGTAAAGATTTATTATTGCTCGTTGAAATGCTCTTGATATGCAACGTGGAGCAGTCCATAAAAAACCTCGCGTCTGATCGTCTACTGATGACATCTTACTCAATTTTAACTAAAACAAAAAGTAGATTGCTTATATTATCCAACAGCTGACTTTAAATCACATATTAATAATTTAGTGTTTTCTTATCAGTTTGATCAACAAATTTTTTACATTTCAAATTTCATCAATGAAGTGCTTGACGAAAACTGAGCCGTTTTATAACTCGCTCAACTATTTTTCATAGTAATTTTTAATATTATTTTAAAAATAGAACTATAGAGACATATAAAAAACAACGAGATGGCTTCGTAAATAAATTATACCGCTAAACATATTTACATGAAATATTCGAACAAATTATTTTGCTTATCGAATCATCTTTCGCTTGGTCGTAAACAAGATCAGAGTAAACTTAGAAACGATACACAGAGTGAGTGTCGTTTTGAGGTCAATTTCATACCTCACTTTAAGAAAAAAATATACACTCAACATACGGTCACGTTTTTGATGATCAAGAAATAAGAACGCAGAGAATTAAACCTTCCAGGATGAATGACTCTACAAGTCAAATATTTAACGTATATTCAACATCAGAATACTCTTATTCTTACACAATAAGAAAATATATGTCTGCTGCTAAGTATCTCATAATATGTTTGTTCATCGCTCACAAAACGAATGCTTCAAAACAGACACTTAAACGACATACAATAAGTTTTTGTTTTTTACAACGAGTTCGTTTAGGTGAAACCACGTGTGGTACAAGAATAAAAATCTTAACAAAACAAAGCGTAATAAAGTCAGTTTTCCCTTACGTTATTTATAACGAGGATTACTGCATGGAAGAGAAAATTTCAGCGAGATGTTGGCACAATATATTATTCTATTTTAACGAAATTCGTAACAAAAAAAAGTATTATATACAGAAGTATGAAGCAAAACACACTAAGAACTACGATCGAAACTTCATCATCACTCGCTTAACAGATTTTTCGGTAACTGGAAGTCTCACTCTTCACTGGATTTGATATTACATTTTCATTTTAATAGTAAGTTACTATGAATAACTCGAACTACTCTATAATGGTTTTGTTCTATAACATATTTATGTTCTAGAAAGGAAGAAAAATATGAACCTGTGACTGTGAATAGACAATGACAAACGCTCAATTGAAGAAATATACAATCGGCTATGTAATTTAGTTCATTATAATATTGGCAATATTTTATTAGATTACTATCCGCGGTTCATCGTTCCTATTAGTTCGAGAAAGAAAAGAACACTGTCATCATAGTAATCAATGACCAGTAAGATTCAAATCATCAAGCATGCTATGGACCAATAAACCAATGAAAACGTTGAAGCAACGAAAGTCCACAAAGCCTTGGCTTGGCAGCGGATGTGTTCTTCACATTGCCTTATCTAATATTTCATAACAATGTCGAAAACTGTATTCAAAACCTGAGAAAATATAACTTTTTGGAACTTTTTTATTGTACATTTTACACGCCTATCGCTCCAAAAAGCTTATGCCACTTTAGCTGACGGTACCTGCGTGGGCTATTTATCTATCTATGTGCCCATAGATAATTGAGAGAAAGTGATTTTACTGGGAAAAAGGATGACAGATGAGAATGATTGATCGTTCTGGTTCGTGCTGTGAAGCCTGTCATGAGCATGACTAGATGAAGACCACGATGAGGAATGACGTCATCAATGAGAATTTGCAAATCAATCATGATAGAGGAAAAATTGTCAACGTTTGATTTAAATTTATCTTGCCTCAACAAGAACTTGGTAAAGCAAAACTGGATTTATAGCTGTTTCTTTATCTGTTTCGCATTGTCGTGTTTCTACTGAATTATTCAAACGTCGGACAACTCTCGCGCTGATCTGCATCGATCAATCCTCTCCCCCCAAACATTACAAATGGTTTCTATTAATAAGGAATATTGTTGTCATAAATGGATAGTAATGGTGGGATGAGGATCAAAAATATTCCTACTTCTCATTATCACAATTATCCAACAGTATTTCTTTTTCATAATCAATGTTCACAATCATTGAGTTTTATAAGACCTGGAGGGGAAACGTCAACAAAATTACTATAAATTAGCGCGCGGCCGTGTGGTCAAAAACATGGCGGATTTTGGTTGTCAACGTAAGCGGAAAGACGCAGGCTTATAAAATAAAATTTTTTTCGCCCACCCGGATTCGACAACCACAATTGCGATTATTTAAAATGTCAATGCCAAGAATAAAAACTTTTAGACATTTTATCTTTAAAACATGCTGCAAACTTGTTTGGTATAGGGATGCTGAAGTAATGCCAGAAATGGAAACATTTCAAGACACCGGTAAGCAACGTGAGATTGTTTACCATTTAAAGTGTTCAGAGTTTTGTTTTAAGTCAATACTTAAAGTGTGATGGTATATATTTTGTGAATGTTTTCACTCCTAAGTTATAATTTAAGTTATGTTTATGCAATCTTAATTGTTCCTTACTTAATCGGTTGCTAGACGAGGCACAGCAACCTGTTCTTATCGAGATATGCATATTTTAAAACTCCTTGTTTCAACCGAGTTGAAATGGAGGATTTTTTCATGATATTTTTATGAAAATATGAAGCAAATAATAAGGACAGAGCTGTATTTAAATCAAATGCAGTGCAGGATTAATTAATGAACTCTTTGGTACCTGTCGTACAATAAAAAGTACCTGTATTAAACAGCTAGCCTGGACAATTTGACAGATTATGGACAATCATGATGATGGTGTGTAAAGGTTTTCTTTATGCTAAAAGTTTTATAAATGCCATCTGGTGTTTCTGTAAATGAATTGTTAGTTTTACAGTGTAGTAAACAGGTTAGTACATCAAAATCAAGATAAAAACTACTTCAATAATGTGCTAAATTTTGCTCCTACCTTGAAATATTTGCTCAAGAAAAGCTTATGATGACATGCATGAAACATTAAATATAGTACTGCATCATCTGACAAAATCCATATTATTTTTCAATTCCAGGTGATTAAAAATTCACATAAGATCCATTGGTTGCAATGAAGTTGAATGTGGAAGAAGCAAAAATTGATGACAAAGAACTTTTTATGTCTTTTGAAGAATTACGATATCATTTAAAAGAATAAGAGTAGCAATCTAGTAAAAGAAGCAACATCTGCCTTCAACATGAGACTTTTCCAATTATGTATAGTTACTTTGTACAAAATACTATTTTAGATAAACTTGATTTTTAAGTCATTCACTGATATTTTTACCAAAAGACAAAAAGAAAAATTCAAAGGCATAATGTAAAATTCAAAAATTTGTCAAGTTGTTTGAACCTAGAAAAAATTAGTATAGGTAACTGTAATTTGTAAGGACACAAAAGAAAAGTAGTGCAAGAAGGTTAGCATTTTTGTGAATTAATAAGTTCTTGACATACATTACACAAGGCCATAATATTATAAATAATGTCTGTATAATAACAATTATACAACATGCTAAATATCTTCACCTACATTATAATTATTTAAACAGGTTTGCCTTCATGCAGCAATAAGAAAAGTGTTATGTCAGAGAAACCAATGCACTTCGATTTAAGAAATAGTATTTTTCAATGGGAAATTAATGTAGTTCTGTTCAGTAGATCCATGGTTGTCAATAACAATCCAGTTTCTAATATCTTGGCTTAAAACAGAATCAGCAACATGATTATAGAATTTCTGAATTTCGTTCTTTTGCTCTCCTAGTTCAAGATATTTTCCTCATAAGTTCTCAGTAGATTTATCAGAATATCATAATACTTTATAAGACACCCAGAATCAATCCTACCAAAAAAACTCAAAAAAATTACATACCTACTTATAATATATTTCCAGTCGACTAAAGTCGTAAGCTAACTTTTTCTAACTCCTTTTTCGACATTTTAACTAAGATTTACCCATCTATTCAAGAAAGACAGTTGCACCAAGCTGTTCACAAACAGTCAAAAACACAAGTAATGCACATGGATTATGCATTAAAGCTTAACAACACATTAACAGTGTAAAGATTGCCGTTTGATATTTATTTCTAATATAGCTAAAGCATTACTTGACAAAATATACGTTATTTTATTGTAGATTTACCTCATTTGTGTGTCTATTTCACAAACCTTAAGCATTATTTTCAATATTTTATGCTTACGGTATCGGTTGTTTTCGCTGGTTGTCATTACTATGAGCAGTAATAGAGATTCGTTTCTGGGAGGAATGTTAAAATTTTTCTCAAAGTGGAAGTTTTGACAACCAAAATCCGCCATTACCGCCATGTTTTTGACCACGGGGTCCAGGCCCCTTTGCCCCTCCAGGTCTTATAGAGCTCAATGTGAATGTCACGCTGCCGTCTTAATAAGTCTTATATTACGTCACACTCGTTAGCAATCTAGTCCTACTATATCTATGCAAACAACGATGAAAGCTATGATGTCCACTGACGATATTAGATTGATTATTAGTTAGTGAGAATGTATTTGGCAAAGGGTACCATTAAAATACAAATTACTATAGTGAAGAGGATAACGTTTACATTGGATTTTCGAACAGTTCGATACTCAAACATCTGTCATGGATAAAACAAGTTATGTTAATCACTTGACATCAGTGATACCAATATTCGCGTTTGTTCAATTGAAAACTGCGCGTAGAATCGACTATCAGCAAAGGCAAGATATTCACAGCTCATTTTCGTTCAGAGCAGTTATGACTAGAATGAGTTTCGATGCTAAAATTCGTTTAGTACCTTCTTTCATTCTTTATTATCTAGACATTGTTTTATGTTTGCCGTGACTTCATTAGGTGGGTACTCTTGCAGGAAAGACAATATTAGTTTCTTCTTCATTTTTTATTTTCTCTTCGTTTTATTTTACAGATATATTTAATCACCACGCCTTGCTAATACATTTGGACCTGGTCTTCATGAATGAGTGAGTATAGTTGTTATTGACATAACATGTGCAATTGCATTGTATACAAAGATTCGGGCAAAATTGTATTTCCATGTAATAAACTACCATCAGAAGCTGAAAACACCATCCTGCCTTGTTTCATGTTGATATAACAATAGCTGTTGGTTTGAAACAAATTACTTCTGTTTGTAGACAAAATATATACTGTGATGATTATCAAGATTATAGTAGTGCACACAGCTTTTCCATTGTTTCTGAATTTAAAGTGATTGCAATACCATACATGGCTAATTTTATAGGCAGATGCTGCTAAAGAAAACCACCTGCCCTACTTGTTAAGCTGTTGGTTGAAAAATTACTAAAGTGAATCTGCTTTTCTGCCTTTAAAAAGACATGAGTACTTTGATTCAAACCAACAGCTATTGTTATTCAAGTATGCAATAAAACAGAAAGGTGCTTTTAACTTCAGATGGCAGTTTACCACATGGGAATACAATTCCTGATGCTACGGTATAGACTGCAATTGATAAAATGTTGATACTTTTGTCAATAACAACCATACTTACTCATGGCTATATACAAATGCTACAGCAAGGTGTGATTGTATTATTTTATATAAAACAGAAATGAAAATAAGAATAAAGAGAGGAAGAAAGCTTAGTAAATTTGTCTTGTTCCTACAACAACAGTACCCAGCTAATAAAGCCACGTCAAAAGTTACATAAAACAATGTCTAGATAATAAAGAATGATAAAGGAAAGGTACTAAACGAATTTTTTAAGCATCGAAACTCATTCTAGATCATAACTGCCTCTGAAGTTGGAAAATGAGCTGTGAATTATCTTGCCTTTGCAACGATGGGCCAAATTCGATTCTCGCACGCGCAATTTTCAATTGAACACGAGCGCCGATATTTTTGCAGATATTGGTATCATTTTGATGTCAAATTGATTAACACAACTTGTTTTATCCATGACAGATGTTTGAGATTAGTAAAATGTCACGAAATGCCTTAAATATTCGAAAATCCTGGTATGTAAACGTTATCCGCCATACATTTGTATAGTAATTTGTATTTCTTGTGGTACCCGGAAGTGCATATTGCATATATAATTAGGCTTCACTTTTGCTACCTATAGAAGCTATATCCAGTCTATTATCAGATCAGCGGGCTGTCCAAGCTATTGACATTGCCATTTAGACTTTAAGGCAACAAAACACCAGATTTATGAAAATTCCACATTAATTGCAACAATGATAAAAACAAATTTGAAGAAAAACCTACAAACTTCTTCTAATAAACGTATAATACAATAACACATAAAAAGCATTGATTGCGTTTTTAATATACGACAACATAAAAAATCATTAAATTTTCAGGATGCAATAAATTTTTGCACAAATTTGGTCAGCAGAAACCAAGACTAACAGTCTTAATGGATAACCATATTAAAACAGCTGTATTATTAAAAGAGAGTGGGTCAAAGTTCTTTTTCTAGAGTGTATGTGTGAATATTTGTATATATGCTCAAATTCCTTAACTCGTAAAATTCAAATCACGCAAAACGACCAAACGTCATGCTCTGTGCCATATATCGTAACACTGACACTCAGTAGATGGAGCTTTCATTTCCTCAGCACGAGAAAAAGAAATCTACAAACGACTCGTATGCCGATCTTTCACAGACTAAAAAAATTAACTTCAGTATCTTTTTGTACTTTAGTAGGTCTCTTCTCTTAATTAGGAATCGAGCTTTAACAAACATTCCGGTTCCATTTGCAGCCACAGATCTGTTGGTTTATTTCAGCATGTCGGTTAATCCTAATTGATTTCTGCAATCAACCCAAAACTGCGATTCACAACTTCGGCCAGTGCCCCGTGGTACTAATGTTACTGATAACGAGCAAGTAAAAAAGACATTGGATGAAATGACTAGATAAAAGGAAAGAGTTATGGCGGAAATATATCAAAAATTTAGTATGAATGTGGTCAGTATCACGAAATAAGTAAAGAGTTGTCGGAAATAAGATAAGAAACAAAAGCTTTTCAACAAAATACTTGTACAGAGGTAACATGGTAGTCTACTTGCTGACAAAATGGTTGCCAAAATGGTTGCCAAAATGGTTGACAAATGGTTGCTGATTTACAGTTAACAGATTAACATCAACAAAATGAATTGTTAAAACGCTTTAACAATTTTCATCTGCATATAAAACATATCAACGCAAAAGAAACAACTTTTCCTATGGTACCACAAGCAAATAGCTATAGCGTATACAGTATCAAATTTACTAACCAAGTCATTCATACTGTTATTCGTCAGCACTAATGTTTCTAAATTTGGTAGACAAGTTGCTAATCCTTCGCCAATTCGACTAAAATGGATTCAACATTGCAACATGAATACAATTATATCTACGACAAAAAAAGATGAATACTTTGAATTTCACATTTATTCCTATCTAAGTCAATCCGTCAACACATATTCAGCCACAATCCTGACGCTAAACAGAGCAATATTGTTCACATGGATGTTAAGAAGGATATTTAAAATTACAAGACTTATAAGCTGAAAGGAATAACAATCTTTCTTGGGTGACGCCTTGTTGTACCATGAGCTTTCACAAAAATTCAACTTTCCTCAAACAGTCTGGTAGCTGCTTCACGTTCCTAAATAAAGACACATAAAATCATGTTATGCTTCGTGATATCCTGAAACAGTAAATTTTATAGCCATGTACGTAGTTCCATCTATATAGAATGCAAACGAGCATAGTTCGAGTAATCATTATCTTATAAGCTGCAACCTAAAACCTGATTCACCACTAAAGTAAAATCTTTTACCTCTTCTTCGAGTCCTCCTTCTTAATGGGCTAAGCCCATTGCAACTAATCCTGGTGAACGCAACCCCATAGTGCAAGACGACATGTATACACACGTGTTAAGTTTCACATTGCATTATACTTTCTTCTACATAAGATCACCTAGTTTTGTCACACCGTTCACATGACAACACGAAGCAGTGAAGATTGAGAACAAGAGAGCAATTTAAGTATCCTTTCACCATTTAACATCGCCATGCCAGTCACAAGCTCGAGACTCGTGGAATATAGCTTCGCACAGAGAAGAAGAGGAAAGATTTTACTTTGTATCGTTTGCTCCTTGAGCATGTTAGCGTTTTTAGTTGCAGCTTATTGCTCTGAAGATGACCAATAACATTATATATTATGTATTGTATTTTATCCTTTGAAATATCCCAGAAAAACAGAACTTCTAAACCATTTTAATTGGTTTCGAGGAAACACGGCCAGGTGAACTTATTTAACGAAAAAAAGACTGGAATCAATCATCAACCTTAAAAACCTACCCATAGTTACTTTGCGTTCGCTATATTTTTAGAGAAACGTTCCAATTAACTCACGTTTCTGACGACTCTGAACTTGCACATTGACTTATCATAATAGTTTAAACACACTATTGCTACAACGTATGTTGAACATTGCCGTCGTTTAAAATCTAAGTGGGAACATGTAAGTTTCGTTCATCGTTAATAAAAAAGAACAGATTGTTCATCATTACACTGTTGATTATTACAACAAATTGTTCATCATTACACTGTTGATTATTACAACATATTGTTCATCATTACATTGTTGATTATTACAACAGATTGTTCATCATTACACTGTTAATTATTACGACCGGTTTGTTGCTGTGCTCAAATTTTCTGTTTCGCGGTAAATCAAGTATATTGTAAACTATAGAGATGACTTTCGAGTTAATTTAATTACATTCAAAAAACCCGAGAAGTAATTTGCATTAATCAAATGTCGCGTTAATTAAGTGTGTCGTGAATTTTCTATAAAAACCAACTCGTGTAGAAAACGTAGCTATGTAGAGTTTCGACAATCTTGATAGAACACAAAAGAATGAAGCAATCGAGTAAAAAAGACATTTGCACCAACAAATACAGAATAACATTCTTACCCTTAATTTTATTCTCTGAAAATCGAGAACTCTTATTTGTGGTAAGCTGTGTATGACGTATAATCTGTAGTTGGGTTTATTCGAAATTGGATTTCTCATCAAACTATAACAAGTCATAAAAAATTTTAAAAAATGTTACTATAACATATACGTGTACTTCAATAACAATTTCGCCTTCGTACAAGATTACAACAACATGTCATCTTACATATAACTTGTAAATATATATTACCTTAAATATCTCAAAGTTTTGACGCTTTTTAATGCATCCAAGTCACTCTAAAACAGTTAAAATAAAATATATCAATACGTTTCAGGTAACTCAAGTGGTGATTAGGGAGAGTATGGTTTAACAGATAAAACATATCAACGCAAAAGAAACAACCTTTCTTATGGTACCACAAGCATATAGCTATAGCGTATACAGTATCAAATTTACTTACCAAGTCATTCATACTGTTATTCGTCATACTAATTTCTAAATTGGTGACAAGTTGCTAATCCTTCGCCAATTGACTAAAATGGATTCAACATTGCAACATGAATATAATTATTTCTACGACAAAAAAAAGATGAATACTTTGAATTTCACATTTATTCCTATCTAAGTCAATCCGTCAACACACATATTCAGCCACAATCCTGACGCTAAACTGAGCAATATTGTTCACATGGATGTTAAGAAGGAAATTTAAAATTAGAAGACTTATAAACTGAAAGGAATAACAATCTTTCTTGGGTGACGCCTTGTTGCACCATGAGCCAAAATACAACTTACCTCAAACTTGTCCGTCTTCACTTGCATTCAAAAGTATAATAAGAAGTATTAGATGTTGACTTTGATGTACATGCTAGTTTGTGCATTTGCAAAAATGATTTCTACAGTATTTTTACCTTCACATCAAATTAAAACTTTATATTGTCATCGAAAGCAAAAGGAATTTTGAACAGAAGTAAAACAATAGCCATGCTAATTTTAATCATTTTGTGGCCCTTAAAAATTCAAATTTTCGCAGTTCTTAATAAGATCTGATTCGCAATGATTACCATAAGATTGCTGAATAGTATATTGTATGTAGAATTTCTACATGAGAATCATTAACTGCAATTAAAACTTGAGCACAATCTTAAATGCCACATCAACATTGTGCATTACATAAACAAGTCAATAAAAATCGTGAACTGTGTTGTCTTTCTAGTTCTAACATTCCTTAACATGTTCTTTACCTGAAAAGTTGCTAAACCAAGGAAATGGCAAACTTAGGAGGAAAATAAACTATTCAATATAATGCAAACACATGCACCAGTTTCTAAAAAGATGCAAAGAAAATTACAGTATTAAAAAACAGTTATTTTTTTTCATTTGCAATATGTTCAAACAAACTAAAAATGTAAATTATAAAACAAGCAAATATATAAATTACCAATAACAGACAATCTATGGAAGAGTAATAAAATATTAAGTTGACCAAGCTTTATGTGTATAAAGTTAAAAAAAACACCTTAATCCTATATAGTAAGTCATATTACTTGTCAATTTCTACCAAAGATTATAGTATCTCCACCAAGGTTTTGGAGGAATTCAAAATAGGTGAAAAAGAGGTTTAGATTGAAGAATTGAAGTGTCCTTTCACCTCTAACCCAGCTATAACGGTCAGCCAGAGACTTGTATTAAGGCTTTCTATTATTTAGTAGACTCTTTCTAAATTTATTGTTTGGCAACTTATATTCGAACTAAGCTTGGTCAACAAATAATTATGTATAATTTTATAAGAGCTTGTATATCAAACCATAACAATTGAAATGTAATAACATTATGCACAAAGATTCTACCAGACAACGATTGTTGTTCATTATGAGACTTTTCAGCCTTTTCAACAGAGGAAAACCTTCCAGTTTCATACATTTGTGTTATTGTAACAAACTGATCCTGTAAAATATCACATAATAAATACTTTTTAAAGAAAATATTACGCAAATTGTTCATTACTACTGATGCCATTTTGAAAATGAATATTTACCAGGAACTCCACAAAACAGCAAATACATTACATGATATATACTGGTATTCAAAACCTTGACAGTTATTAATTACAAATTAAAATGAATGAAAATGTTTTCTCGCTTTAAATAATACAGCCCACTGAAAATCTATTTGACAAAATTGACATTACTAGTATAACGAGTCATAACCAAATTATTTCCCTTAGCATAAACTTGGTTTTCGTTAAAATTACCCAATTTATAAAACAGAAAAATGTTTTCAAATACACAAATATGAAACCAGAAAACCAAAACTGTTACGTACAATGAATGACAAATATAACAAAAAATTTGGCAGGTTTGATTGGAAAGGAGAAAATTGTGTTCTCTTGTATTCATGTTTATTGAAATGCTTATTATGTCAGAACATTCTAATAAAGAACATCTGATATTTTTCAACATCTTTCATAAATCTACAGCCATTAAAGCAGTTTTATATTATTTTGCTCAAGAAATATAGCATTTGTTAAATTGCAAGCTGCTAAAGTAAACCAACTTGCATATGAAAAACAGCACTTCCTTGATAAATGCAAAGCCTTTTTAAATGGACATGTGACATCATTAGTTGTACCCAGATTGTTAGCAAAATAGGAATTCTCAAATAATTTCAACAAGTTAAATTATGCAAAACTCCTACTGTATTTAATACACATTTGGTCGTTTCAAACTATTTCCATAGCAAAAGACCAGTTCCAAACTTCTTCCTAACATGCTTTATAAAAATTTGTCATCACGTTCAAGTTAATTTGACTTGTCACAACAAGAAAGTGGGACTTCCCTAAATGGGATTTCATTAAGCAAGTACTTGACATGATGGCCAAAATATGTGAATGAACAATAGAACACATGCATAAAGACTAGTCTACAGCTACGTATGGCAACAATTTAAATTCATTAAAAGATCTTAAACACAATGATTCACTGATCAATCAGAGAATATACGGAAAAGCTGATTAATCAGGCATTTTAAAATAATTGGTTAATCAGGCATTTTAAGATAATCGGTAATCAGCCGATTATGTCAAATAATTTGTATTGTCAAAGCAGGTACATTTTTACACCTTTGACTTTCATATCTGAACTAAGTGTGAAAATAGCCTGATTCTTCCGTTTGTCATGAAACAATTCTATGGGGTAGGGTCTTACATCATTACTTTTGTAGCCAAGTTAAATAAATTTTGCATTAGTCACATACTCTCAAAATGAAAGATGATGAATGTCTTAAACGCAAGTGTTTTTAGCAATTTCAAAGTAAAGAAAAAGACTTGTGCCACATAAATCTTAACATCATTTTCTTTTCATATAATATAGCACAACCTTAATTTTGTTACTAAGTTGTCAAATGTGCATAAATTTGCAACTAGTTCTAAAAGATGTTAAAAGAAATAGATATGATTCAAATAGATTTGAACTTTGAATAAGAACAAACTGATCAAAATGAGTTAGAATCTCTAATGATTAAACTTAAAGTCTGTTTTTGAAAATGTTTTATAACCCTTTGTAGAGATCACACTTTCATATTTAAGCTAAAAATCAAGTACAACTATCAATCTACCTCTTTGATCAAGAAATCAAAATTGGTCTGGAAATTAAATGAGATATGAACTAACTGTAAGCAGCATTCACGATTATTTGAGACATATTTACCAAACAATCAAATAATTGGATAAAATTTCTCTTCATATAAACCTATATTACACATACATATACAGCATGATACACAATATACTGGAGATTCATGAAATACATACATACATACCAAAGTTGCTCCAACATTTTCATTACTGGAATCTGTATCCTAGAACATCAATATGGATAAACTAGTTGTATGATCCATTTCATGAACTTGTCAACTTATGTACAGTACTTTTAATGAAACATCAATCTTTCCCATTACTAAAGACATATCATAGCTGGTCAGTAATGTTAAATTAAAGACAATGATAACTGAGTGACATCACCGAAAGGAATTGATAGGGCATAACCCCTCCCTAAGACTAATTTGAAAATTTTGAAAAATATGAAAAGAAATAAAGGGGGTATGCAATGAATACAATTTTAAACATAAATAAAAAGAAGCTTGCTGTCCTAAACGGTCAAATAGCCAAATACAATTGTTGACACATCTCACTGAAACATTCCCTTCTAAAAATGTGATTTATAGCTTTAAGATTGTTATAAAAATTGTCTGAAAGAAATAGCATCTTAGAGAACATACAATCAAACATTTTTTTAAAGGAATATTCTTCCGAACCCCAATTTATGTGTCACATCTTTTAAGTTTGAACAACTCAGTTTGAAAACTTGGCAGCTAACACAAATAGATTATTCATAACATTAATTTTCATGATAAACAAGAAAAATGCAAAGTTTGAAAATGCTTAATTTTCAAATTTCACACAAAATAAAAAAATAGAAATTAATTGATAATTGATAGCATTTCTAAATGAGGTGAGCTGCACATCAAACGATTTATTTGAAAAGGATAAATCAACTTTGATTCACATTCTTTGATGAATTATGAGGACACATCAATTAGATGGCAACCTAGCTCTGGACCAAACCAGAAATTAAGCAAAAAAGCCATTTCTTTAAGATTGCATATTAAATATACTATTATGCCTTAATAATCTGGAAATAAAGCCATAATTTACCATATTAACTGAAGATCAATTTCTGTCTTTGAGAGCATTTGTAAACTGTGATGACTGTAGTACAGGTCTGCCGTCACCAATGATTATTTCAGGCTTGGAAGTACAGGTGGGTCAAAGCACTCGCTTGTGGTTTCTCCTCAAAATTTTTGAAATATTACAATAAAATATCGTATAATCAAGGCTTCCAAAGATATTTTGCGTATTATTTACTATTTTCGCGGGCCAAGACGTTGAATTTTGTAATATTCGACCACGTTTTAGCACTGCACATGCTCATTGAGTTCTATAATAACTGGAGCGGCTATCTCAAGCGCGGCCTTAGATATCTGATGATTTTCAAAATGGTGATTCTATCCGCTGCTGCTGAGATTTACTCCTAAATTGATCGCTTTTCCGAATTTTACATTTCCCACCCTCCTGGAGAGTGAGGAAATGTATGTGTACGGGACCAAGTAATTTTTGATGAAACTGCTACAAACCTTAAATTCATAACAGCGAGTCAACTGTGTTGTCAGTTATGTGCTCCTACGAGGATGTAAGGCAACTATCGACGAAAGAGCTTATATGTCGGCTACACATGTATGAAATGCAGATGTGCGTCAGTTTTTACCAGCACAAACTTTTGACCGATTAAACCTTTAGTCTATACAAAAAAGTATATCACAGTTCATCTCCACGGTTCACGAGAGAGAAGTTAGCTTATTTGTTATCATTGCTATTTTGGTTTTTCATGATGAATGTACGCTTTTTCGCCACAATTGTTGGATTTTTACTTGTTTTTAAAAAGTAAATATTAAACTTGATATTTACGGATTTTCTGTAATTGAGTTTCATATTAACAAATTTCAAAAGACTCAAGTCTGCATAGGTTTGGTAAATGAAACAAACAATATTGTATAGAAATTACTTTTAAGTAACCTTATGTTCTTGAAGGAACGCATCAAATACTCTGTAAAGTTGTAGCATTTTGATTTTGTTGTATTGATATATGAATTGGCAAATGTAAATAATTCATCAAACATTTATAAAGCCAATGGTATTATAATTCATTTGTAGTTTTAACATTTCTACCCTTCTCTTTTTTTCACTTTTGTTTTGTTTTTTCCTATATTTG